AAAAAAAAAAAAAAAAAAAAAACACATCATAGTAAAACCAATACCTTCTCATCTTCGCATCGAAGCTAAAACATTTTTAATTGTTATATCAATTAACAAAATTTTAATGTAATTATATTTAACATTATTTCTTCAAAATTATTGCATGTAGAAGATAATATGAGAAATAAAGTTATAAATTATATTTCTTTTACAGTTACTACATTAGTTACTGTCCCTAAAAAAATTTAAATACAACCAATCATTCACCATATTTATAAAACATCAGTTCATATTACAACAACCATACTACCATGACATATAATGTATAGTTAAAGAATAAATCAACTTGATACAAGTATCCTAAGAATATTTTTTTTATGGCAGAAATAATGTTTAATTATGAAATTATTCAATACTATAAAATATTCCTTAAAAATACGGATTAAATAAGCATTTTACTTTTTTTTCCATTTAGAAAAATTTGATTTTTTTTAATGAATGTAGTCAAATTTATAAATTTATAAGTATGATAAATTTAACATACTTATAAATTTAAATATAAATATAACAATTACTAAAATTTGTCAGAAAAAAACTAAATATTTTGAGGTACTAAGTAAATTGGTCATAATACATTTTAAGAGAAAATCATGTAGTCCAAAAGATTATGCGAATTTTTTGAAGTAAAGTTATACACTTTAACTACAAATGCATACTATTAAAATAAAGTAATTATGCATTCATCACACTAAATGAATATTTAATTTTTTAATAAAGTCATCGAAATATGATAAATTATTCAAATAAATTCTGCAATTAGTCAATAAAGTAAAAAGTAATACAGTCAGTCATACAGTAAAAATTGTATAGTTAATTAGATAAATCTATAATTTTGTCACTTAATACTTGTGTATTACATTGCATTTGCTCGACAGATAAAGAGCTGCAATAGTCTAATTTTTGGTGTGCCAGATGATAACTGAAATTTTTTAAGTACCTATATATTATTTTGTTTTTCTTAAACATTATATTTAGACACCTAATTATAAATCTCCTGAGCAAAATTTTGGATGAAAAACAATTATACAAATATGCTATGATTTTATTATAACTTATGACGATTGTATAATATATTTGATAAATGAAATGTGAATGTGGCTTTCGAAATTAAAATCATTGCCCTAAAGTGTACAAAGTAGGACAAATTTAATGTAAAATTACGTAATAAATGTGTACCGCGTGGAATTTTTATAGCAATTACTAATAATATTACAATAATAGTTTAAAATTGAATATAATACACTATATATTAAAAAATATCAACATAAAACAATTATACGTAACGTTTTATTCATGAATGAAAACGTTGAATAATTATTTTAGAGTAAATGATAAGTAATGTTTAATTCCAGAAATGTAATAATAAAAATTTAATTAAATCTTAAAATGTTTTTTTTTATGTTTAACGGCAAATCATTTTTACTAAGATAATTTCTCATTTTCTTTTATTTGTTATCATGACACAGATTACATCTATATGTTGTATATTTTGTTTTTCAAAATAAATATATTTATTCTTTAACTTTATATGTAAGTTTAAAAATGAAAATATTTTTCGTATAATAAATAAATAAATATGAATAATTATGAATTAGTAAATAAAATGATATTTAAATATAATTAAAATAATTACATTAAAAATGACAATTTGCTAATGAAGTTCGTAAATTAAATAATATTATATTATTTTCGTACACATTTACAATTATTTTGACTGTAATTTTTAAAATATGTTGCTAATTCATTAAAACATCATTCTTTTATTAATTATTTACAAATAATTCTTTAAATTTTTTTTTACAGCATACATTAACTTTCCTAATAGATGCTATATCGTGATTATTTTCAATACATAATTTATCTATACTGATCTTCAAATTTATTTAATTATTTCAAATAATATTAAAAAATTTTCTTTCTAAAAAATCAAACATTTGATAAAAAATCAGAGTATTGTTTATACAATAATTACACGTAAGAGTTTTAGTTATATTTATTTGAGAAGGTATGTGTAGCTTTTTATTATAGTGTCAGTGCAGTTTATTGAAGTAAACCAGAAACTGTGAAAAAATGCAATTTGGATACAAATAAACAGATGTTTTAGCTAGCACCTACGTAGAGTTTCATTACTATATGTTATTGTACCTTTTCATAGATTTTTCTGATGATTGTGTATGAGTGCAAGTATTTTTAGTGTAAGAATTTACAATATATGTAGGTATATAGAGTGGTTACCTGTACCTCTAGAAAAAAACGTCGGTCGTCTGCGCATGGTATATTCTTCTTTTACCTCAACATGCCTATGGGTAAAAGTAAACGACACACGGTATCAACAGCAGGTGAACCGGTACCTTGTTGTATACCCGAGGGGAGTATGCGCTATCTTAGTGGATACCAGAACACCGCCGCTGCAAAAGTCAATGGTGGGAGATATCGTGTAACCTGCACAACAGGTCACTTACAACCACACCGTCAGTCTGTGGGCCACCAGCGTACGTTGTTGTCAGTATCTAGTTCGGTTTCCGTAATTCGTTCGTTTTTTTAATAATCGAGATTGTTTGTTTTATAAATTTTAATTTATCGTAATGTTTGTTGTTGTTTGCGTAGTGCGCATCTGTGCGGGTTGATCGCTGTGATACAGTTATGTTCAAACGATGATTCGTTAACAATATAATTTCTAAACCGGTTTTTTTTTTCAAATCCCTTTCTTTAAAAATTTCTATCTTAGATAATGAATATCACAATCATTATCACAGAATCAGTAATGTAACCTGTTATACACGAGATAACGTACTATTTCTGATACTCGTGTGAACTTAATTATATATTTGACGTCTTGCAAATTAACATAATATATTTTCATCATTGATTACCTTAAGTTTTCAAAATGAGTATAATGATGCGGCCTAGATCGTCAGATTCGACGCCAATTTGTAGATGTAGAGTATTGTACCTGGGCTCAGCAGTACCACATATTACGAAAGATGGACTGCAGGGAATCCAGGAACCCTTAAAGGAACTTTATCCCGAGCAAGGGGCAATCGGTGCTCGAGGGATAGATTCATGGCTAAGTGTATGGAGTAATGGCCTTTTGTTAGAAAACGTTGATGAAAACCACAAGAAAATTACAAGGTTTTTTCCAATAGAGTCTTTGCACTATTGTGCAGCTGTTAGGTTTGTACTTGTACCTGAAAAGTCAAACAATTCAACTCAACCTAGGTTTTTGCCGTTGGACTCACCTTTTGCTCGATCACCGAACCCAAACCATCCACCTTTATTCGCTGCTATACTACGCCGAACATCTGGTATAAAAGTTCTTGAGTGCCACACATTTATTTGTAAACGTGAAATGGCAGCTAATGCCCTCGTAAGGTGTTGTTTCCATGCGTATGCTGACTCTTCTTACGCTAAACAGGCAATAGAAACCAATGGAGGCACTACTAACGGTAGTATATATGGCACGGTGCGCACAAATCAATCAATGGGAAATAACACGATCGAAAAAGTCGAAGGTTGGAGGCGCATGACCAATAATGCTGGCAGTACATTAACTTTAAATAGTGCCCACTCGAATGGCATAACGACTTTGGAAGCGACTACTAATTCTATTGATGACTTGTCTGAATGCAATGGAGATGAAAATCACAAAGTGTGGGTGGGTAGCACCAAAGACTTATCGAATGATAAAGATGATTTGTACAACGGTGGTAATACGATGCGAAGTTCTCGGTCCAACCGACCTCGTCAGATAGTGGGTGCCCCACCACCACCTCCTCCACCACCACCTGTAAGAGACGAAAAATCCTCAAAGAAAAACAAAGAAAGACCACGGCGAAAAAGAACACCGACGGGTAGTAGAGTCGGAAGTCGAGAAGACCTTTATTCCCCATCTATTAATGGAGAGGGACCAATGATGAGACCCACGAATGGTCGCTCTTCTGTGTCGTTGAATGGTACCATCGTTAGCAGAGGCCCATTTAAGGGATTTATGTCTCCTATACCGCCACCTCCTCCACCACCCAACCATATTTATTCAAATGGTGGTACTATGATGAGGCCTATAAACGGATTTCATCATCCTCACCCTGTAATGTTACATCATCCACCTCCACCACCACCACCTATAATGATGGTACCTACTACCCTTCCACATTCAAAGAAAATGCATAAGATGAAGCCAGGTATGATACCATTACCTAGACCTGGGATGATGCCATCTAACTTCATGCCTATGCCTATGTATATCCATACAGGAGGTAAGAAACCTAAGCATATGCAAGCCGTACCGATACCATTAGCTATGGAAGAACCCATTTATATGCCTTCCACCCGGCCCTTAAGTCCAGTTGCGTCTTACCAACCGGAACACTTTCCACACGAAGCATATCTGATGCAACAGTACGCCAATAACAATGGTCCTATGCCAACTAAGAATAAAAAAGATAAAAAGAATAAGAAAAAAAATTCAATAAACGGTGTTATACCTCCAATTGCTGTAAACGGTAATCGAGTCAACGGAAACCAAGTTAACGGTAATGGGTTGTCTCACGATGAAACAGACGACACCGAAGATTCTGTGTATAATACTGGTATTTATCGACGAAAAGGTCATTTGAATGAAAGAGCATTTTCGTATTCAATTCGCCAAGAGCATAGGTCCAGATCGTATGGGTCGTTAGCTAATTTGAAATTTGCTGCACCTCCAATGATACCTAATGGTGTCGACGGAGTTCCCAAAACGGATATAAAAAAGGAGAGAGAAATCATGCAGATGATGCAGGACTTAGAGCTGTCTGGAGATGAACTAGATAGGGTGGATCAGGTGGTTCATCAAAACAAAATACAACAGCGACCTATCAAAACCAAAAGATAATTGATCAGGTAAATGTCGCTCAATTTTTCTTTTTCTTTTTATTCAGTAATAGGTAGTAGAATTCACCGACAACGAATAATATATTGTTCTAATACCACCCACTAATCACAATACTTTTGACAGCAACAAAATCCATTGTTTTCTTCTTCATGGTTTATTCAACAAAAGCCACGAAGAGATCGTGTTATACATATTCAATTATACTTTTGTTTTTGTATAACGCCTTAGGATTAACACAATAATTATTATCGGTCTTGACGTTTTAGTTATTTTGACATATATTAACATGGTATATGTTAACAAATCATATAATTATATTTAATTGACACCAAAATAACATTACCAAATTTAAATATACCGTTATAAAATTGTAGTTTATTAATGTATTTTTATAGTAAGTTGACTCTAAAAATATGTAATAATAATTCAGTTAATACTACATTAATAAAAAGATGCTTTAATTAGAATACAAGTATTATAAATACAACCAGTTAACTTTTAAACGATTTGACATTTACTAAATTTCCCAAAAACCTGTTGTTATTAACTTGACCAACATAGTTCAACAATAATTTTCTAGTCAGTAACTATGTTAAACAATATTAGTTTTATTAAAAAAATATTTAAATTTTGCATTATTAATGAATAAATTAAAATTTAAAATAAGGTAACCTGAAAATTAATTTAACACTCAAATGTTGTGTCATCTGCATGTAAATATTGTCAACATGAAGATTTGTTTCGTGAAACATGCGGTTTTGCTGTTAATTAGTTTTATATGTAGGAAAAAATATTAGTTGTTTAAACAATAAAAATTAACTAACGGGAAAATTGTACCTTCTTATTTGTGATTAATTTTAGTAATTCTTAAAAATAGAGTAGACAAAAAATCTAAATACAAAAATTATGTAGATGAGTATAACATTTTTTTGTTAAGTATGTTTTAGACTATTGCTACATTAATTAATTTAGTTAAAAATGTTGAAACACATAATGGTTAAAATTATAGTTTTACTATAAAATTTCTTTCTTAATTTTATAAATATTGACTAAAATAGGATATTACTATATGAAAAATTAAATAAAACTGTTTTAATAACTTTTACGTGTTTCGTTACACTAAATATAATTTCTTTGTTTATTTGATAGACTCAACATTATCTATGGACAGGTTACAAGGTAATTGTTTCGAAATAGTTTATAATTAAATTTGTGCCACAACAATTCAAATGCATTTAAACTCTCTGAAAATACACAGGAACTAAAGTAAACATTATTGGAAAAATTGAGTAATTCTCCCACAGTAATAATTCTCACAGTCGACCATACGTGTCTTAAGTTTCCGAGGACTTGCCAAAGCCGTTATGTTTCATTAAAAAGACGTCATAAATGACGCTACAATACTGAGCAGACTTGTGGTCTTTTTCTAACAAATACCTCCCAATTTTACTAGGGAACCGCATCATCTGTGGCACTTTCGCTGTGGGGGTCTTTTCATAGCTCATAGTAATAAAGCATTTCACAAAATATGGCTCATCATGTTTTTTTTTCTATTTCGCCATCACATTAGTCTGCACACTATTAGTTGATACCTATGTGAGTAAATGAGTAACAGCTAAAAAAACAGAGTAATAAATTTGATGGTAGAGACTATCAGCGGTTTCATGGAAGTAGTGCGACTACGGAATGCGGCATTCTGAACGGCATATAGGCGTGCCAGCAATTGATAGGCGGACACCGCAATACGTGTATTATATTAAAATATTCTAAACGGGAATTTTAAAAATCTTGGTTATATTCCAACACATATTATTTTTTGTGCACAACCGTATAAATAATACTGTTAATTTCTATCTAAACCATACAGAATCAATATTAACCATAGGATAGAACAAGTCTCTAGCATAAGTAGAGTAATTTGGTAGTTCTTAAAAAGAATGCATACGACACTAATTCTTACTAAATAAGTTTAGAAGTTTTAACATTTAAACGTTTGAGTACTGTTAAAAACTTTTGTTTATTTACAATATACAATTTTCGTATGTTGTTTATTGATAATCGAATTAGTTCATTATTTTATTTATCTACTATTGTACCGTGTAATAATTAACCTTCTATATAATAATTACCTTCCATCGATCTATCTATTTATTAATTTTCGATCGTTTGGAAGTAATAATTGCGGTAAATCTAATTATATTTATTGATCAATGGATGGATACGTTCGACGGTGTTCGGTTTATTACAACCACACATCAGATAAATGATGACCATTTGAAGATAACCGCGATTGACCCCGAAAACCGTCACACTGGTAACCTGCTAGCTTGTCGCTGCCCCCCGGGGAACCAAAATCCCGGTACTTTCAACGCTATGGCCTGTTGTGCCACTTATACTCCCACCTACTTTTATATATGCATAAGTTTGCTCCTGTGTTATCTGTATCTCAGTTGCATACAAAAAATCTTATCATAATCATCAGCTTTAGCTACAGACAGATTAATAACGATTACATTTGTTACAATTGTGTCAGTGGACATTGTGGTTTCAGTTATGTTTGGATGGTTCTTTAATAGCTGCTTGGATTATGGCTGAGATAAAAACGCCCGAGAAAGCGATTCAACAATAGAAATCGAATCTCAATGTTTTTTTTCTCAAAAATAGTTAAAGTTCTAGAGAAGTTATAAAAAAAACGACCGGTAATACAATTTAATGAAATGAGTGCGGTTTTTGTTTTGTAACCACTATCATGAATGAAAAAGATTTTAAATTGTTTCAACGTGATGACATAAATTTATTGAATGTTTACTAGATAAAATCTTACCACTTGAAGTTACTGACCAAAGACTTTCTTTTTCAAAAGCATGTCGCAGTCTATATCCTTATAAATAAATGAAAGATATTCGCATTGTAAAAACAATTCGAAACATTATTTGTAGTGTTATTCTTGTGATATCAGAACAGGTTTAAAACCAATGATCAGCTTTGGAATACCGATGTCACTGTATCTTAGTCTAATGCTGGAAATAGTCAATAAAAAAAAAATTTGTTTACTGTATGTTTAGTAACGGTTCATCGCTATTATTACAATATTATTTTTATATAAGCACAATGCCGACAGTGATTTTTTAAGAGCGTATCTGCTTTGTCATGCAGTACACGCAATCCCATAAAAGGTAATTACTCAGCCGTTTAAATGCCGTTTGAAATTTTTTTCGGCTTTATGGTACTATAATAACATTATTTGGTACTAAATATTTACTCTCTTCTAATATTCTATCAGTAGCTTATAAAGTTCAAAGCTAAATACTTTTGTAGGTATGTCATGCAGTCTACTGCAGTAAAGCGTAAAAAATATTGTGTAATACTGTTCTTAACGCTTCATTTCTTTGTACGAATTTAATATCCAAGTAGAATGCCAAACAGGCTCCGTGAAACGGTAATGTATAACAAACTATACCAAAACGATTGTGTAATCTATCAAATGCATTCTGATTTTTTTCATAATAGACAGTTGGTTTCGAGTGACGATTTAGAAAACCTGATATCGATTCAAACACCTCAAGTAGACTTTAATAAATTGGTTTATGTTTCATTAATTTTATCTTATAAGATCTATTATTTATTGTTTTATCCCGCCGATACATTATTGCACGAAATGTTTCATTCAGTAGATGTACGTTTGAATAAGATTAAAAAATGATTTAAATACTTCTTAAAGCGTTCAATTGGCTATTGTTTGTTAACGAACCCTACCAGAATTGTACGCGTGAAATATGCTACAGACAAGGTATCCGTTGGATTATTCGTATGTGTGGAAGGAGCACCTGTACATACACTCGGATGCATTACACGTGAGTCTTCCCCGCGCGTAACACCTACTCCTGTATTTGCGACGCTGCCCGCACGAACCCGGTCACGCTTGGCCGTCACTAGGAAATTCGTAGATGTACTGCTATTGCTCCTCTTTGCATACTAAGCATTACACATTATGCCGTCACCGTTGCTGTGTGCAACATCAGTACTACTTAGGCGCTCTATTTGGATGTGTGTTACTTGTGGGTAAATCAATATGCATCAACACGATTGACGAAATCTTCCGACATCGTGACTGTTCCTTAACATTTATTGTTATAATCATTGTAATACGCCTTTCGCTATCGCTGTTCTCCGCGACTTTCCACTAAATTCGTGCACGCTAAGCCATTCTATTGCTATCGCCTGCTCTTTCAGATCACTACTTTAGTTTCTGTAAGTCGAGTACTATTGTAATGACAAATGAAATGTCATTGACAAATCAAGATTGTGAAACGATTTAGTATGTATGACGTGTTGATTGATCAAGTTTTTTTTCTGTAAAAATGTCATTTACTATTTTTTTTTTTATTAAATATGTACTAATTATTAGACACTTAAAAAAAACATTGTTGAAAAAGACACATTAAAAACCGTTTAATAAATACAATGTGTTTAAGGCTAGACGTTTCTTTTCCGTCGTTAGTTGTTGTATAATTAGCACAATAAAAACAGTAATGCTCAAAAATACATTAAATAATTTTATATATCCATTAGAACTTTGTAAACGCTTAGAAATGATTTGTGAAATTAACCTTTACAATCTTACACGGTACTCATAGTTTAACACTTTACACATGACGTGAAAAATCTTAGGATAATAAAATAAAGGATATTTCAATCATATTTGTGGATATTCAAACAGTAATTATTCGGAGAATGCAAACATTTGATTGAAATGTTTGCAAAAATCATTTATGTAAATTCATTTAATTTATTAATTAAAATTAAGTTGTTATTATAATAATAATTGGAGATGATTTAACTCTCCAAATCAATTGACCCACTTGAGTTTATTATTATTTTAATTTTTAAAATAAAATACTTTAGGGAGTCGATCCGGCCTAGTGGGTAGAAACGTATTTTTTGGCGCACGGGGTCCCGAATTCGATTTTCAGCCAACGAGATTTTTCTTGTGATTTTTCTCATTGGTGGTCTGTAGTGCAAGTCGGCCATAATACTCGCCCGTCCATTATTGGCCTAGTCAATAACCGTCTTTAACTACCTAACATGTGAATGAGGGTCACCACAATCTGTACCATGTTAAGTTCAAAAATTAGAAGGATATAAAAATTGCTATGTAGTAAAATACTATAAAATATGTCTGGTAAATACAAATGGAGAAAATATTATTTTAAATCGTCAATGTTATGAATTTACATAGAATTTCAACCTTATAAAAGAATATAAACTTAACATAAGGCATATGACCATTTTTCATAATCCTTCCTTTTATGCAACATTTTCAGTTAATTGATCAAGGTCATAAAAATTTTAGCAAGACTTTTTCTGGTTTATTTTTTATTTTCTAAATCATGCGACTGCGCGTGTAGTTCTCACAATACAAATTCAAAAAATACGCTTCTCATTCAATTATTATACGTTTAAGTTGACCTTGATGAATGTTACCCATTGTCTGATTACTCGACATCTTATGTTCTAGTAAACAAAAAGGAAGTATAAGAAGTATTTTATTTGTTAATCCGTACATACACACTGAATACATATTATTGAATTACCTGGCTACGTTTTTTTCAACGACGCTCAAAGATTAATTATACTTACCTTAATTTTCTATATTTACACGGTTTGCTTTGAATTCTTGGTAGTATTTTCAAGTCATGAACTAGTTTTTTAATGTGTAGTTCATTTTGTTGAGTTGAGTCGAGTTTTTACCAATCGACACATTAGTTGGTTATATTGGAGAGCCATAATGTTTTACACGATGTATATCTTTATTGATCTAAATACGTCTCTTATGTACAAACGACAATCATATACCACATCTTAGCCCAGTCAGTCGAGGAACTGGCTGGAGGAAGTCGGATAACAGTTCCGGCGATTGTGTTTTGCGATGGGCTCATTGTTTGTAATAGTGTGTCGTCTCTCATGTGCGCGTCACACAATACAATGATGATATTGTTATTAAATAAACAAAATTTAATGGAAGATGGAATATTATATTACTGAACACGTATTAATCGCCATACAAAATGAAGAACACAAAGAATGGCCAAAAAAACAGAAAATTATAAACAAGCCATATACTTGTAAATAATATTTTTGAAAAAAACAGTATTGATTATAAGTTAACTTGATTATGT